CCGGGACGTTCCCCCTCCGCTGAGGCCTCGCGTTTGATTTGATCTTAATAAGAGGTTCCCCAGAAGGAAGGCGAGCCACACCATGTGATGTCCCCGCAACATGAGGAAGACATGTCACACACTCCACCTCGGTCCCCTCACATATGGTCAGACACTTGGTCAGAGTCCTTGGCGTTGCTTTTTAACGCCCTGGTTACCCCTTGGTGTTGTTTGTTGACATATAGGGCACTGCGGTGAAGTTAGTAACGATAAACATGCAGCGTCCAGTTAGACTTTCAAAATAAAACCAGTAGGGCTGACCCCAAATAGTCGAAGATTCGATGCTTCGATTGGCGATGAGCCTGAATCTGAGCCTCAATCTCACTGTCGAAGCTTCTCAGCTTATGGGGGAGCTCAACGTCTGATTTTACATACCAATAAGTTAATATACAGCCTGTTACAATATACAACGTTTAATACTGTAAATAAACATGTAAAAGAATAAAACTTTCAATTACTGTTTTTAAAGTGCGTGAATAAATCCAAAATTGTAACCTAACCCTGGGGCGTCAGTGCGTGGAGGTAGTGGCAGGAGGAACACTTGCTGAAGAGACGGAGCTCCAGCTTCACTGGTGTTGTGCCGAGTTGTCGGCACCTCGCGGGACTTTCGGATAATTTATCAATGTTGATGAACCACACAAAGAATATTTTATCGTTTTTAATCAGCTGGCTGCTTGAAATAGATCCGCGAGGAACCGTGACGTGCACGCAGCTGTCAGCAGTAAAACTCAGAAGAACGGTGAACGGCAGGTGAGAGAGAGAGAAGATGGTCAACAGTAAGCCTCGGTTAACTTCGGCTCACAATCCCCATGCACAAAAGCACACAGGATTCGACTATGTTAACCCTTCGGTCGGGGACAGGCCTAAAAACCAGTGGTTGACGTTGGGAAACGTCGCAATTTGGTTATGTTGAGGAAAAGATCATAGTTTGTGTCACTAAAATGATTCAACACTCTCCTGGGTCCGGTTTCTGATGCACCGTCCACCCGACCCAAGTCGTCTCATATGGATGTACGGTCATGACCCGCTTGGCATCAGTTTGTAATGTTCTGGGAAGCTCTGTAGCGTCGTTTTTGAACGCTAAGGTAGGTGTATAATATAAAACAGTAAAGGCCGAATAAGGAGGCGGTTAAGGTGAACAGGGAGGGGTGGTGATGGTGCCAGTGGATAAGGCGCCTGCCTTTGGTGTGAGAGAGCCGGATTCAATCCCCCACTGTGACCCGTCCACCACTGTGTCCCTGAGCAAGACACTTAACCCCTCGTTGCTCCAGAGGTGTGCGACTTCTGACATGTATAGCAATTGTAAGTCGCTTTGGATAAAAGCGTCGGCTAAATGAATAAATGTAAATACTACAAAAGACGGTGTTTCTTTCCCGTGTAAACATTTACTGTTGTTATGCCCAAACCATGACCTAACAGAGTTCTTTTTGTGCCTAAACCTTTTCACAAAGTTTTACAACCTTAACCACAAGTTTAATTTTGCAAGTCGTTGAATCTTTAGTCTTGCTAACGTGACCACGGAGCCCTACGGTGCAAAAAGGGCTCTAAAGGGAACCCGGGGCGGTTCTGAAGCTGGTTCTGGTCGTTCTGCTTGTGTTCCGGGATCGGACTCGGGCTCCAACATGTACGGCTGGACCGAAGCTGTGCTTATCTGCTGGAGCGGCTTTGTTTCGGATCACACTAACTTGGTTGTCAGGACCCGCCCTACTCTGCTTCTGATTGGCTGGTAGTCCTTACCTAAAAGCTGCACATGTGCGACTCCTAACAGAGATCTGACAGAAGTGAGATGCTTCACTCTGCAGCTAAAACGGAGCGTTCAACACACAGGGTGCTGCAGCGATGAGCAGTCTGACAAACACATGAATGAAACCACGTCAACCTGTTCTGGTACAAGCCCTGAATAACACGATGAAGCCCTGATGAGCTGAAAGCTGAAAGCAGTCAGCTGGTCTGGAGCTCTGAGAGGTGAAAGTAAGAGAAGCGTCAGCTGGAGCTCCGTCCTGATCAGCAGGTGTCTGAGTAAACAGCTCCCACCAACTCTTTCTAACTCGTCCAACAATCTGCCAGATCCACCCGGGTGATTTACGAGTGTTTTCTCTGCTCCCGGCGTGCCTCCTGATTGGTCGATCCATCAGAAGCTGTAACTGTGTTGGTTTAACGTGCCTCACGGGGGAACATGAGGTTTCCATTGGTCTGTTTTAAAGTTCGAGTTGATGTGGTGAAAGCTCGATGAACTCGCTCCAGAGAAAGAAGTGAAGTGAGTCAGAGGCGGGACTAAACCTTTAGCTGTGTGTGTGTTTCTATATTAAACAGAGAGAAAGAGTCATCGGACTAAAAGTTGGTCAAACAATCTAGTGTTCGACTCAGTCCTCCCTCAGATTCCTGGACGTGTGCGTTACTGTGTGTATTTGTGTGTGTGTGCATGTGTTTCCCATTTAAAGTGACCTCATCCCTCAGACCGGGGGCCGCATGACTTCATCCTGCCGCAGATCTGCTCGCTGCTGTCGACGGATGAAACCTTCACATTAAAACAAGTCTCCCATCAGCCCAAAAGATAAACAACGTGAAGCCAAGAACTTATTTTGGCGGTGGGATCTAAAATCTCAAGAACAGAACAGGAAAGCGGGTCACGCGAGCTGATCACAAAACATTAGAAGAGCTGAGATGGAACGAAACCACATAAGTTTACTGGCTCCTAATTGGCCGCACTTTCCTTATCCAAACAGTTCAGCCTGAGTCTCGGTGAGCGCTCCAAGCTGCAGGCTGCTGACAATCAGAGCTGAAACTAAAACACTTGAAAATAACAAATGACAGTAAAAGCAGCCTTTTTATAGACGATGGCGTTTGTCCGTCCTCCACGCTGGTCCAGACTGAAGCGCCTCATCAGCTGTTGGGTGGACTGTGATGGAACGTGGTTCAGAGTCCTCCATCATCAGGTCCACATACCTGCTTTCAGCTTCAGGATCTCACTGGAGGCCTAACGGCTGCAAAGCCTCCGTCAGTGACAGCTAATATAAGTTTGCATCCGCTTGTTGACTCCTCCCAGACATTCAGGGTGTTTTTGAAGCTCACTGTCGGCGTGACCGTCCTGGAATAATGCATCCTGGGTGGTGCAGTGGGTACCGCTGTTACGTCATAGTAAGACGGT